AATATGATTTATTTAAAAATTAGCTTTATAACATATGAGATTATAAAAATGCTTAAAATTATTTCTTTAAAGCATTTTTAAGAAAAGTCTGGTGAGAGTTCTTTTTTCTTTAATGAACTGTTTCAAATGACTATTTTTAATCTAATTTCTCATTGAATGTTCAAATTCTACATATCACACTCTATATATTCACGGAATTTTCCTACAATATAAATAAATACTTGAGATTTTTTTAGCTGTAAAAAATAATATTGTCAAAAGAATTAAACTTTGTATTGTAAAAAATACATTTGTAATCTGAAAAGTTAATATTATTTATGTTATTTGAATTTGTTTACCACTAAACATATCAGTACTGATATTTTTAGCAGTGATTTGTATAACTCTAAAATTGTAGCATAAACAAAATAGTAAGTGAAACATGACAACAATCTTAGTACAAAAATACTTAAAGCATTCATTTGTATAAATTTTAATTAAATTGTGGCAATTTGAAATATAATTATGAATATTTTAAGAAATAATTTAGGAAATTTTACCAATGGTTTACTGTCAGAAGCTCCAATTATAACTTCACAAGTAGTATTAATTAATTAATCAGGGAAATCAGTTGAATCTTACAAATTTGTTTTTCAAAGCATAAATGTGCTATAATTTGTGTTTTACAGTTTCTACTAATGCATTAAGATATACAATTAATTACTAATATACTGTCTCTCTTTGTTCCACTAGTGAACTTTATTGACTTGTCAACGAAGAAGAAATTCTTAAATTAGATATGAGTGGAACTTCAAATAGATACGTGATCATTACACAGTACAACACAGAACAGTAAATGTAGTTCATTTCCAATTAAAAGTAAGATAAGACAAGGGTAAGGGTTGCCATCTCCACAACCAAGGTTTTTCTCATATCACCTACCCTAAGTTAAAAAACAATATGTTTTTGAATATGCCTATTTGTGTGTGTGTGTGTGGAGGGAGGGAGGGAGGGAGGNAGAGAGAGAGAGAGAGAGAGAGAGAGAGAGAGAGAGAGAGAGAGAGAGAGAGAGAGAATTCTTGTTGGCCATTTTCTTTTTGATGGAGGTTGAGAAGATTCTAACTTGAACCCTAGGAATTCCTGATGTATACTTCCTATACCAAATCACATGTTACATCCATTTACACATGCAAGAGAAATCAAAGCCAAAGCTGAAAGTAAAATGGACATAATTTTAATGGATTTTTTAAAATTTTTGTGCATTGGATTCAAACAGCAAACTGTGTGCACTCAACTGTTTTCACAATGTTGTCAAGAGATCTGTGTCATTTTACCATTTACACACAATTGTTCATTACAATATGTTATCCGCCTTGTGGGAGTCAGGGGTGTGGCATGGTAAGCAGTGGTGGTAGTGCACCTAGCTTTTATATTATCTAACTTGAAAATATTTCTCTTCTATGATTCCTTTTTTCGTGATAAAAATAGTTTTCACCAAACGTTGGTGGTGCACACGCACTACCATCCATGCTTGACATCACATCCCTGATAGGAACACATGTTCTTATTTTGTTGATAAAAAGTATTACAAAAATTTCCATACAAAAACTATTTTCATAGAAATCTTGCATTTCCACAAATAAACCTGAACATTTTTTTTGAAAAAAAAAAACTGCTCAAGAATTTTGTTCTTTTAACATTGCGACTCTTGTTAAATGCAGTCCACTTCAGAGTTCTATCATGTACTTTTCTGTAGGTGACAAGTCCCCATTCTTTATCAATGAAATCTGCCCAGGCTCCATCAAGATCTTTACAGCAGGAATGAGACTTTCAGTTGGCAAAACAGAATGACAGAATGAAATCTTCAGTCTTCCACATAACCAGCAAAACTAAGCCCTGTTTTACAATGTATGATAAAGATTGCAAAACATCATCTTTTAACGTAGAATCTCTGAACCAACTATTAGTATTTAATTTCGGGTGTAGGTTAGGGTAAGGTGTTTTTTTAAAAGAGGGGGGGGAAACATGTGGAAATCAGATTGGTTTGCCTGTTAAATACTTGCTGTATTTTTCGGAAAAAAAATATTGTCTTTATAATTGCCATTTCTATCTCAATCCATGACACAGATTAGTTTTAAAAAAGAAAGAGAAATAATGGAAGTGGTCTGCTTTCTGTTTCACCTCTATGGAATTCTGATGTGTTTAGCTTTACATTTTTCACATTCTGTAAGCAAACATTGTCTATTCCAATGATGATTGAGTATACTGACTACTGGGGGATAGTGACATCTCTTGATTATTTTTGTGACTGGGGGACTGTACTGTTTCTTGCAGCTCTATAATTTTTGCTGATTTCACACATTTTTTATTCTTATGACATTTTTATTGGTTTCCTTTTTGGGCACCGACATTCCATCTCATGGCAACAGTTGAGTTTCTGAAGGAACCCGCAGTTTCTCCCTGGACTGCATTTTAAACCAGCCACAACATTTGGATGTAACATTCACTCAAAAGGAGGGAGGAACCCATGATAAACAGTGTAACCCCGTGTAACTTGGTTGATCCATGGTGCTTGTAAATCAAGTCTGATCACTGCAACTGCTTAGATCACAGAGTCTCTAGTTCATAGACACAGCGGCATGAGGTAACTCATTTTATTTTGCACAGGTTGCATATTTCCACAGGAAACATTCTCGCTAAATTGTTTGGAAAAAAAAAAAAAAAAGACAACAGTTTGTGCTTGGGTGGCTGGCCTCCCAACTTCATGCCATGGTTTCTTTACCTGGCAACCTTCTGTCATTAAATGTGTGCATGTTGATAACTTCTTCTGTTTTCACAATGACTGGTGCCTGTGGCTTATGTTTTAGCCGACGCTGGCACTTCAGGGACATCCTCAGTTCTTCCACCATAGCACTACAGAAGGACCGCTACAGAAGAACACAGAGAGATTGGATATTATAAACGTGATAGAGGGACAAAATTCTACAATCATTCTCACATACTGGCCAGCCTGCCAGCCTAAAACATTTAGACTATTACATGGTGATTAAAAATTATTACATTTTAAATGAAAACAATAGAATGAGAGTATCATAGCATTTGGGCTATTTAAAAAATTACCACCTGATAGTAAAATATTCTCTCCATTAATAATTTCTGTTATTCAAATAGATTGAATTAGGTTATATTTTGATATTATGTAAAGTTGGTTAGCATTATGAGGATATCTACCTTAAAATTTAAACATAAAAAAAATCTCTACTAGATACTCAATGGTGTTTTCTGATTAATTATAATAGAAAATGTACTTTTTGGGCTACAAGATGATATACACATATGGTCTCTAAACATTGTTTCTCCACTATTTAACTAAAATAACAAAAATGGCATTAGACAAACAAAAATATAAAACAATTTCTGTAATTTAATTACAAGTTTTGCTGTTATTATACATATGCACATTGACAGTGACTAGAAACATACAAGATACAATCATGAAATGGGATATTGTCAAATTTTAAACACCTAAGCAAACATTATCTTTAATTCATTATAAAAGCCTTCATAACAGAAAGCAGAAAACAGTTTACCACAGGTGAAAAGGATAACATTTTTCACACTAATGACTCTAATATGAATAGCCAGAAGCTGTACTAATGATCCCTAGATATTCATGCAGAATTAGTGGAAAACCTATTGCCAATAAGATGAAAATCATAGAGTCATTAATGTGAAATAAATTTTGTTAGTCTCTTTTTTCTCTTGATTAAGACACACAGAGAATAGATCCCTGAATCAACGTCATACTATAGTTCAAATTTATATGATCTGAGTCTGAAATTAGGATCTTCTGTAAAAAAATTAAAATGTACACAAAATACAAAGGTGGACATTTATAAAAATTCACAAAAAACTGAAAGATGATATGAAACGTGATGAGATAATAATAGGTATTTTGAGATATACTATTGAGTTAGTCATTGTTGCTTTGCAGTTTATCATCTTAGAATCCAGGAGAAAATATTATAGCATATGTGTCTATTTTTTTAAAACCATTTGGCATGTATAATCTTTAGTGACAATCAAAGTAGCATTACAGATTATTTATGTCTCAGTTTGTTGATGTAACGTAACTCAGAGAAAAAGTGACTTGCAACTTCCCACACACACAGTAAAACAGCCTGTCTTATTCCTTTATGGCTATATCCTCACTCTTTCTAAAATGTTCTTTAAATCTGTGCTTATTTTGTTCAATCTTTAAGGGGGAAGTTAGTATAAGAAGATATGTTTATCAACATATAAAAACAAGTCAAATCTGTGTCTCCTACTTTTCCCCCAAAACTTCTCTGAATCATTCCCTTGTCATTACCTATATTCCTACTGCACTTCCATAGTCTTTCTCTTTTCTTCACACAGTCATCTCTGCTTGGGTGTACCTGCGGTGCTGAATCCTTAAAAGCATAGTTTGGGTCTAACTTTATTTAGTTGCTTCAGCACACAAAGTTTCATTCAGAAACCTCCTTCTATAGGCTACTTTATCTTCGTCAATTTGGTTTTCTTCCCTCACTACATTTCCGTAATTGTTCTTTTATCTGTAGCCTCTGAGTTTTAGAGTTCCACTCTCACTGAAGTGTAAAGAGATTGAGTGAGTTCTTGTTGATTATGCACTCCTATGCTCTTCAAATAGCAATCCAGCTAACCGTAGCTCTGCATGACTCTAGTGTTTTGTTTCTATTTAACAGTATCTCTTCATGCATTGCATAAAGGTTTGCTTGCAGCTTAGGAACATCACAAAACACAATGAAATTCTTCAAGACTTAGTTCCTTTAAACAGTAAAACAGTTAATGTATTAGAACTTGTAATGGGTGAAGATTAGATGTTGGTCATGACTTGTCCAAGGATTACAGAATTGTTACCTGAAATTATGAATTGTGTTTTTAATTTTAGCTTTTGAAATTCATGACATATTTTAATTTAAGGCTATATATACCACCACCAGCTTGTACAATGGAATGGTGTTGCTTATTGCTTAATACCTTCTATTAGATGTATTTATTAACAACATGATGATAATGATGATGAAGATGGTGATGATGACAACACAGTAGAAATGGAAAAATCTGACTCCAAAAGGGAGAGGAATACATTGTCTTGAGGTAAAATAGTCTTGACTCTCTGTTGAAACATTTAATAGAAGAATTGATTAATATGATATAATTAAAATAAAAAAAAGTAGAACTTGATCCCATTGACATTTAAAACTGATATAAGATGTGAATGAATGTAAATTATTTGAAAGACAGTTTTGCTTAATATAGAGTTTCTGAATATCAGCTAATGTTTAACAACTTTTTCAACCTTAACCTGAGACTATTTTATTGTATAAAATTCACAACAAAACAAAGTGTAAACATTAATATTTGGGCTAAAGGAATAAGCTAAGTTGTTTGTTTCCATGGGAAAAACATTAATGAGCATACACATTCTCTTAGGAAGGATTCTAATTCATTTATAATAAGGTATTAGTTCTTGGTGTTTAGTACTTGCTTCAGATTATACCTTGATACATATAAAAAATTATAAATTATTATCCTATGCTACCAAATTTATAGTTAATATAAAATATTTCTTAAGTTAAATAATCAATATTTTTATCTTCTATAATCTTAAGTGATATGTATACATATTAGAACCCTATCAAAACTATAAATTGTAAATTGTAACCTCATTTTCTAAACAAACGTGAAATGGAGAAAGGTTTTGTCAGAGAACTTTTAATCAATCTGTGGTCTTTACTATACAATTTCAAAATGCCATTTTGGTTAATTTCTCTCTGAATGAGCTGAAATTTGCCAGGAGTTTAGTTTTTGAATAAAAGCACTATGAAACAACAGGTTTTCTTCTATTTTTTCTCATTCTGATCTTCAAAATAAAATTTGTTACGATAAAATTTCAATTAAATTTCTGATTTTTATTCATTTATTAACAGTTAACCCATTTCATCTACCTCAGTTCTGAATTACAAATTTCCCAAATAGATACGTGTATATGTCTCCGGAAAATTCACAAGGAGTTTTTGATGAGCCTTTATTTTAGTTTGCGGTGCCAAAATTTCTTCTGATGTTTAAATATAACTTTAATTCCATTTCATTCAGGAGAGACCAGTTGCTTTCCTTAGTTTTCAATATGGTTTGGGATTCTCTCTTATTTAAATTTGAAATGTCTTTACCATAATCCTGTGCACTTAACTCGACTTTGCTCAATTGTCATTAACAAATAGGAGGGAAGAGTGACGAGAAAGAGAAGGACAAAAGGAGACATAGAGTAGAGAGGGAGGAAGGAAGGGAGGGAGGAAAAGTAGCAAGGGAGTGAGGGGCAGCAGAGTTTCAAACCCTTTTAGGGGTGAAATCCATGTGTTGTGTCATTCAGGTGGGATGTCCCCTACAGTGAAAACAACAGTAAAATGTTTCTTCACATCAAGGCAACAGACTACAAAAAGGAAAGTAAAGGCACAAGGATACTAACCATCATTAAAACCCTCGTTTAGAAAGTGTCAAAAGTTTACTAAACAGTGTCTGGTTGGTATGGTGGCACTAACCAAATAGAAGATTCCTGAAAATGAAAATTTACATCTTTGAGCTGTTAGCATGTATAATGGCATTAAAATAAGTAAAACTCTTCATAAAATTCACCACATTGAATGAAGCAACCTGTTATTGACACATCCCTGGAAAGGAAGGCCTTGAATTCTTTTACATGGCTCATTTGAAAAGTCCTACATTATATTTTTATTATAAGTAAAACATAGTAAATATTAAATGACTTAAAATTACCATTGCTGTTTTTCCAGAATGATTTTTTTTTATCTGAATAACTTGGCTTTCTAACCTATAGATGCATGATTCACATGACAGAAGAATTTAGACAGCACAGAATTGTTTTAATATAAAAAAAATCTAGCTATAAATATGCTCCATGTTCAACACTGACATTTTTGTTAAAAACAGACAGTGGATGCAAAAGATCTAATTCCTTTGTTTTCAAGTTTAAGTTTGTCAACCCTGTGTTAAATAAATCTACTTGTCATCTGAGGATATAATTAAATGATATGTTTTACTGTCTACCAACATTTTTGGTGCCCTTTTGTCCTACTCCTTAAAAATAAAAATTTCTGTAAATATTATTCTGTTTTTCATTGAAAAGTATTTACAATCATTTTTTGCCTCAAGGGATTAAACATCTATGGAAAGATTTATTAGTCATATACTCAAGAACTGAGTCATATACAGAGTCATTGAGAACAGTCAACATAAAATTACATCACATTAAGTAATATCTAATGAAACAAGTAAATTGTAGGAAACATGTTATGTTATATAATATTTACATAAATATTGACACATTAAGAATAATAAATGTCATTTATGTGACCAAGTAAAACTTCTCCCCTGACCTATTTGATTATAACTGAAAGTTGTTAGATATAAAATACCTAAGGCATACCTCCCAAATGTGAATTGACCTATGGCTACATGAACATAAGAAGGAAGCCATGAGTTATGTAAATGTCTAGCTAAATCACTGAAACTGAAATACTTTAACAACTTGAATCATAATATTGTGTTATTGCAGCATTTTTGATAAAGTTAGGATATTTACAAAAGCCTTCTCAGAGGAAAATTTACACATCCAATTTTAAGACATAGTCTCACTTAATTGCTGTAATTTTATAGAAAATAAAACTTAGCCTTGAAAATTCAAATTGTAGTTTACAGCTATCCACATCAGCAGTAACAGAGTGGAGGCAAGAACCTCGTTATTTAACTTTTTTCTTTGAATATTGTGACATAATACCAGTCTCCATTGTCCTGAGCTCATTGCTAACAGAGCATTTGCCTAGATTCTTTTTTTGAGTAATCTTTAATGATTGCATATGACAGTTATAAATCAAATGGAAAAGGTATACAAAACTGAAAAAAATATTTTTTCACAGCATTAAACAAAAGGCATGCTACTCTCAGCCTGGGGTGTTTTATATTAATAAACATACTAATCAGTACAATAATAAATACAAATATTCTCAGAAACCTACCCTTCAAACAATATTTAGCCAATATTTTATATGGCAGTTTTCAAGTTAATGAGAATGAGAAAGGGTAGTACCATTCCACATTTTTCGTCAACCTTACTTAAACTAGGAAGACCAATAAAGAAGTGCAGCAAGTTTCAGAAGCTTTTCAGTGTAGTATTTTCGGTGTAGAAATGGATGCTTTTTAAGACGAAAGGTGTTGATTATCACATTCCTGCTAAAAAATCTCACCCAGACAACTAACAGACAGGCTCAGGAAGCTTCTGTTGTTAAGACAAAGCAGCTAAGATGTGCCATCTTTATCCTTTTTAACAATGCTATTAAAATAACAAATGATATTCATATTACAATTATATGAAAATCACGATAATTAACCTTGATCTTTTTTAAATTAAAATTTTTAACTTTAAATAACATTAACAATTGTATGTAAAAGTTGGATAATATCAGAACTTGCTTATAGTTCCCTAAGGATAACCTGATGCCCACTGTTCAATCGTCTCCTCCCCTTCCTTAGCCTTTATTGCCCCAAGTTCTGGAAACTGCAGTTCTACTCTTAGCCTTTATTTAATCAACAATTATAGCTTCATAACATAAGGGTTTCTGTTTCCACACATGTAAGAAATGACAGTCTCTCATATCGCAATTTTTAAGTATTTTAAATATAAACTCAGATGTCTGTATATTGAGTCATTTTTGGAAGAGAAACTGAGAAGTCTTAAACTCAGTGACACAATAGTGAGCTCTGATTCCTCATCTTTTAAATTCCAAAACCAGTTCTTCAAACATTGGTGACAGAAAAGAGTTAAAAATCAAGTATGATCAAAGGCTTCAATCTCATGACTGAATTTAACTACCTAATTTACACATGTTCTCAATACAACTTCATGAGAAAAGAAACAATCAAGAAACAAGTACATAGACTCTAGAGAGGTGACTCTGAAACTAAGAGTGCTTCCCTCTCTTGCAGAGGACCAGAAATCAGCCACAGAACCCACAAGTGGCCCCAGGGCATCTAACCTTTGACCTCCATGGGTGCCTTCACTAACATTCACAGACTCACACATACACACGCATAAATAATATTAAAGAAGACTACTTTTTTAAAGAAGTAACTAAGTACATATGTTTATGTAATAACAATAAATGAAAAAAAAATTCTTCGATTTGACAGAGAGTAAGGAGTGGAATGTGGGAGGGTTTGAAAAGGGAAGATAAAAAGGAGAAATGCTATACTTAATTCATAATCGCAAAAATTAAAAAAAATATTAAACTAAACAAAACAAAAAATAAATGAAATTTCTAGGTACAATGCCTATAGCTTAAATTGTCTAAATAGTATTGGATCAGTGTCTCTGGTTGTGGAAAGTATAACTAATTCTGGAGATACATATCTTCTTCTCTACTAATAAGTTCAAGGGTCTTGGGAATTTCCACCCTTCCTTCCTTCCTTCCTTCCTTCCTTCCTTCCTTCCTTCCTTCCTTCCTTCCTTCCTCCTTCCCTCCCTCTTCCTTCCTTTTTTTAACCTAAATTAGGAACCATGTTTTAAAACTTGTAAAGCCACACATTAAAAAAGTAGAATGATTATTTATCAAGGTCCAGCCTTGGTTTTAGTGCTATAGAAGATGAGTTATGGCAGGAATGATTAGCTGATTTTACAGATTAGTGAAAAACATGAAAACAAATATTCTATGTAATTGATGTTTATATAAAAGACATTTTAAAAAGTCACCCACTAGTCCTTATGTATATCATTGGCGAAATAGAACACCCTACTTCTAGACGGTGACGTAAAAATTACAACAAATAGACTACTTATTCAGTTTTACTCACAACTTTAGTTTGAGTTCTAAATAAACATATTTTACAGCTAAATTGTCTTTTGTTGAACATCATCCTAGAACTTCTAACTTTTGAAAACTAAAATGCAGTTGAACTTCTTCCACTAAATATAACTGTTGTATATATTGGTACTTTATTTAAGCATCACTTGTAAAATGCAAATTTTGGAATAAAACATTTATGAACAGTTTGTTAGATTGTTTGTATTGCTTGACTCTATCCATCCATCCATCCATTTATCTA